CAGGGGTTTGTGGCCAATACAATATATTCATTAACTGTTGATGGTTGATTATAGAAACTTTCCACAACTTCAATAACTTCGTTTTCATTCTAAGACTGGTTTGTTCTTCTTTATATTTAATTTAAATCTCTTTTTTCCCATTGTGCTATTTGACTTTTAGTACTTGGCTTGCAGATCCTTAAAGAGTTTTTGGCTTTAACAAAAATGCATTATTTGTGTATAATTATATTCAACTTTTCCTTATTAATTATGTATGTTTCATTTTCAATCCTTTCTTTACTATATTGCAAGCACTAACAGTTTCTTTACTCTTTGTAAGCACTAACGATTTTAAATAAAACCAAAATTTCTAGTTCATTGTTGCCATCTGGTGGACATAGATTTCAGTTTGATAATTGCAGGCTGGAGAGCCAAACAGCTGTGCATATCTGGATTGAGGGAGAGAATTTTTACTTCATTTTTACGGCAGAATTTGATATGGAACATCCTAAACCCATATAGGTAACTTCTAGACCAGTGGTCCCCAATCTTTTTTTGGCCATACCCCACCTAAGCATCTCTATAATCTGGATGCTCCCCCCCACCCATGACATAAAATTCTTACTTTACTCAAAAAGTGAACTCTATTCACACAGAGGAAGCCTAAAAGGTCATTAATTTGGTTTAAACAAGGTTCAAATTGCCCTAGTTAAAAATCAAATCCCCCCCTCCCTGGGGCTTAGGCCTATGTTGGGAACCACTGTTCTAGACAGTCCACATCATTAAGGGCATCTGAAATATCAAATTGCAAACATAAAATAGCCAGTTGCTGGATTCTGAATCTTGTAACTCTGCTTATTTAGAACGATAGCACAGCAGAGATTTCAAGTGTTCTCATTATTCCATCTTATTAAAAAAGGAATATGAACTGGGTAAATTACAGACCGAGAAGCCTGCTTAATCTAATTTGCCAACAGAACGTCAGCTAGAAAATGAAAATATTCTGGCAGAGAAGCAAATTGATTCCAGACCAGATTGAGGAGTTTTCAGGTAAGCGTCCATTTTCCTTGGCTGGGAAATATATCTTCTGAGAAGGATATCTTTGGATTTTAAATCTGTTCTGTGTTGCCTATCATCTCATTCATTTATTCTGAAGGCATTTTAAAGCTGCCTTATGTACATAGGTGGCACAAGCATCTTTTCAGAGTCCTTGGCTTGTCAATGAAACTGATCTGAGAGAGAGAGAGGGAGAGAGGGAGGGAGGGAGAGAGAGAGAGATAAACAGAGAGAAATTTTTTAAACAAACATATTTATATAATACTAGAAGTTTTTTTAAAAAAAACAATACTGACCTTTTGGCTTCATAACATTAATTATAAAAACATAAACTGTGTTAAAAATATTCGTCCCAGCATTGATTTCTGGGAATTCCATTGGAACCTCCTCAATTTGAAAATATTCATTCTTATCTATGCCTTTTGGTTTTTAGATTCATATCCTATGGGACCACTTGCCCTCTTATCCCATGGTTGCTGAATTTGTTCAAGAGTCTTTGATGAGGATATTTCTTCAGTGACTTTTTTTTTTCTTTTGTGGGAGAAGGCAGACTATATTTACTCCATCAGATACCCTACGTCTTGCCGACAGCCATAACAATGTCTACAATTTGGAACCTGGAAGTGTTGCAAGCTGAAATGTTACTGCTCAGGTGCCAACCATATTCTTCCAATGTCTGGAAAGTTGCTAATCTGATTTTCAACAGTGCAAGGGAAAAGGATCAAGGCCAGGATGATGGATATTGGACAATATCAATTAAGAGAGCAAAAAGCAGCTTGAAGATTACTTGCTAAATTGAGCAACTATAGAAATCTAATAAACAAATTGCATGTTATACACTAGCATTCCTTTTGTGGTTCCCAGGGTTTATCCACAGCATTCAGAACCAATATTGGGATCAGCAGTATGTATTGCCTGCCTCCACCCATTTTTGGGAACATGTCCTTCACATACCATGAAAAACTCAGTGTAACATTAAATTGGTGGAACCTATACACTTGTGCCATGTTGTCTTGACTTGACCCAATTCGACAGATGATAAAAGTGCAGCTATCGTTATAACTTCTTAAAAGACTCTTGAGGACGAGATCTCAAAAGTAGACAGACAAAAAATCACCAATGGAACTAACCTTAGGCTATAAAGTGCCCGCAACACCTGCAAGGGATTTGGGGTCAGGACAGGCTGAAATTGGATAGAGGTATTCAGTGGTGGGCTTCAGATTCCGGTGCAACCGGACCGGGCATCCACCACATGCACGCACGGAGCGCACTCATGTGTACTTACCGCCTGCGATGCTCTAGCTGCTCGGCAGAGTGTCGGGCAAGCGCCGTACAATCTGTGCATGTAAGCCCCGATCGGCTCAAATACAGGTAAGGAGGGCAGGCGAACCCTCCGGAGTACCATACCAGAATGGTACCTGGTACTCTCAGCAGGCACCGGTACGCCCTTACCGGGGCATACTGATTGTATCCCACTATTGGAGGAATTGCAGAAATGTTGTACATTTTAGGAATAATAATTAAAATAGGGTTAAGATACAGCCAAGACAAAAACCGTAGGAAAATGTCAAAGATAGAAAATAACATTACATAGACCTATGAGAATTTTGATAGACTTTATAGTATTGAGAATTATATGCATTTATAGGATAAATCATAAGTTGTAAAGAATATACAAATATACATTTGGTAAAGACTAAAGATTTTGAAAAAGCAGAGTAAAATTTTCAAAAGGAGAATTTGGCAGTCAATCTATAGCATGCTATATGCTTAAGAGATAAGCAAGCTAGTTTGTTGGGAATTGGTTGGGAAGATGAGGTCAGAACTTCTGTGTAGGTGTAAACCCTTTATTTGTAAATGATAACAACAGGCTGTTAACAGATTCCATCATTCCCACCACATCCTGTCACCATCCCTAAAATGAACATCTGCAAGTACTTATTGTCAGAATAGATTGATACAATTCTTCTTGAATCATTTCTTTAGATGTTTGTTGCTAATACGTAATGTGGTAAAGAAACATATACACCCCTGGTTTAAGTACAGAATCCATCTCAGCCATGCTCAAAAAAGGGGAGGCAATCTATTTTCTCTACTTAATTATATTTGAAGATGAGTTCCCCTTTTGTGTGAATTGCAGCACAGGTTCACCCCTGACCTTAATAGTACTTTTGGAAAACAAAACAACATGGATTAGACAGGAAATCACATAATTGTTCACATTTTTTAATCATCCATCATCCTCACATGATCCAGCTTAGCATTAATTTCAGTCAGTATCTTGAAATTCTTGTTTTTCTTTAAATAAAAGAAAGCAAAGTTTCTAATCATTTAGGGGATAGTGTTAGCATTGGATTTGCAAGGAACCATTAATAAAAAATTGAAACATTTATAATAATACAAGGTGGAATGGTATGTATAATGGTTAGAAGCCAAGACCCCATTCTTTGCTCCTTCCATGAACAGCAGAAACAAAATAAAATATGAAACACAGGTAGTTCTTGATTTAAAACTATTCGTTTAGTGACCGTTCAAAGTTACAATGGACTGAAAAAGTGACTTATGATTGTTTTTCACATTTACAACCATTGCAGCATCCCTGTGGCCGCATGATAAAAATTTGGCCATTTGTCAACTGGCATATTTATGATGGTTACAGTGTCCTGGAGTCATGTGATCCCTTTCTGTGACCTTCTGACCAGCAAAGTCAATGGGAAAGTCAGAGTCTCTTAACAACCTTGTTCTTAACTTAGCAACTGCAATGATTCACTCAACAACTGTGGCAAGAAATGTTGTAAAATGGAGCAAAATTCACTTAACAACTGTCTTGCTTAATAATGAAAATGTTGGCCTCAATTGTGGTGCTAGTTGAAGATTACCTGTACAAACAAATTTGCTTAGCTCATGCAAATTCACAGGTTGCAGAATTTAGCTTTTGTTGACATGAAATCGTTTATTTAATACACACAGGCCTATTATCTTATCCTCTTGTGGAGAAACATTTTAAAAAGGCTAGTTCAATGCTGTCTGCTCCTGCCTTGTATGAAATTTCAAGGGGATGAGAATTAAAAGGTGGGAGGGGGCCCATGTGATGACACTTAGCCAGGCACCTTAATAGGATCTGTTATTTCATTTAGACTGTTGGAAGAGAAAATAAATCAGGCTATACACATACTGTTTTAAAACAATCAATCACAGGTGATAGCTAATAATCAGTCTGGATTCCAAGAACCTTAAACATATCTATACTGGATACCAGACACAATTCAAAAGCAAAGCTACCTAATTGCTAAAACCATTTCAATGAGAAGAATGTATATGATTAATCTGACCGCTAGAAGTCTTAAAAAGCAAAAATAAAGACAGATTCACGTGGAAGAGTACACAACTGTGTTCTACCAAGCACTTCCTATTTTGCTTTTGGTCAAAATAGATTAACCTTGTCTCCTGATAGCTGCTGATCAATAAGACAGGGGAAAAAATAGCATCATCCATGGATGTACCTTTCACATCTGTGGAATTTTTGTATTGACTATATACACCAGCCTTTTATTTTATTTTGGACTTCAATACAAGGCTGTGTTGATTGGGAATTACAAAAATTAAAACACATTCCTGAACATCACCAGGTAAGGGTACGTCACTGCATTTTCTTGGACACCACTTTAAAAGGCAGTACTTTTAGATTATTTAAAAAGAAACTGCTTAAACATAGAAAGACTTCACAAGGCATAAAGCCGTCCCTACAAAATAGCATCTATCTATCACATCCCCATCCCACCCACCCCTCGGTCACATGGTTCATTTTTCTTCACATCTGGACTTCAATATAATGTGTGGGCTCCCAATGAGCACATCTGTATCACTGAATATAAAGTACTTGGCAGGGCATGTCATGACACAAGGCAAGTGTTACCAGAAAACCTGAATTTTCTTAAAAGATTTATTTATGCCCTAAAATGTTGTACAGCCTGCTTCTTTCTCTGCACAACAGTGTTGCTGGATAGTAATTCCACTGAAAACCAGTCTCTGGATTACCATGAGTGGCAAAATGTTGAGAGAGATGATCATCTTTACAAATGTCTGTGCACTGAAAAAGGTAAATGCACTTAAAAGTGATAGATCAGTGGTCAAAAAAATATGCACAGCTCACTTTGACCTAGCAATGTAAAGAAGAGGAAGAGCATTAAGCATAAATGAGAAATCAATACAGAGCTAAGTAGCACACATTATATGAACGCCTTTTCTGTTGTTACAATTACAAAAATGCATGCGTTCATTTTTTTTTATTTCAAATAGTGGACCTGTGAAACCTGTAAAAGATATTTTTAAAGTACCTGTTGCCAGAGTTATATATCTTCAAATAAAATAAACCACAAAACATATCATTTCTATACGTGTATGCCTACAAATAAGCATGTCTAATTTCAGCATCAATAGTAGTATTAATTTTGGGTCATCTAAATACAGACTAGTAATACTTCCTATTCCAACACATGCACCTATAAACACATGATCATGCACACAGCATGTCTTCCTGCTGTTTGTGGGAAAAGTCGGAATGTACAGAATTATACAGTATTTAATGTTTAAAAATGTATGGAGGTGAGGAACCTTAGCATGTCATTTAAAGGAAAATTTACCATGCATGAGCTATAAATATCTATACATATGCGTGATGGGAGGGGTTTCCTTCTCTCATTGATAAAAACACTGAAGACTGGAAGGGTAATCGAAGAATCAACATCATTTTTCCAGCATTTCAAAAGTGAGGTTATTGACCAATGTGCACTTGCACATAAGTGATTGTGGTCATGGAAAATAAACCTAGCTTCACTGAGATCCCTCAGCCAAAGTTCAAAGGAGTTCCTTCAGTTATTCTTCTCATAGCAGGTAGTGCTGATAGCAGTCCAGAAGCCCATATAGATCTGCTGGTCAAGCTGATCAAGTTGCACCATTCCCATTTAGCCACTTTAGGAAACTTCAGTGCAAATGTGGTCACCTGAGTGAAAAGGATAAAATAAAACCCCTTCAGAAACACTAGAACAGTTATCAACCCTATAGCAAATAAACATGTTGCTTTTACCAAATAAATTATATGTTTACATTAAGATAAAAACAGATACAATGCAAAAAATGTACATGGTATGCAAGGAAGGTACAAACTATCCCAAAAGCCTTATCATAGTTTTAAATGGTCTTGTTTGTATATACAGTCTATGTACATTAAAGGATGCCAACTATTAATGAAACTAATAATATTTTCATGTTTGTGTATGTGTCTCTCATTGCATATGGGAAATAAATGCATGACACATCCATCCATAATAAGTTACAACTTGACTCTTGGATCACCATCAGTGAAATATCCTGTTTACTCACACTATTCTCACTTCTGAGAACTTCTGGACATTTTGCAATTCTCAAAGGCTGAGTTTTCCTTCACATTGCTTTATTTCGATTTGTATCCTTGCTTGGCTTTGCTTCTCTTGGTAAAAACTTTATATTACTGGTGAACAGTGATTCTGACATGGCAAGTCACACCACACTGAAGCTGAGATATGCAGAGTGTTGTTGAACTGTGCTACATAAACATCCTTATTTTCAAAAGATATTAATTATTCTCCTTTGCCTTCTGGTTACACTGGAAAGAAGAAATTTTTAAAAAAAACAATAGAAACAAAAAAAAATTTACAAGTCCAAAACAACCAGGAATGTTAGATAAGAAAGTTTGAAATCACTGATATAATGAATAATTTGTGACACATCTTCTGTAAATGCTATAAAGCCAAATATTTACGGAATTATTTTAAAAGAATAAGCAATGTAATTCTAATACACAGGCTAGATTTTGAACCTACTATATCAGTGCTGGAATAAAGTCTGAAAACCATCCACTAAACCTACATGTCCAACAAACCTTCCTTCACCTCAATAACTGTTAAAAACTTAGACACTACACAGAAAATTTCAATGGGATAGCAAAATGTGGCTTGTTCATATTTGATTTTCCAAAGAATACAGCTTTATGGATTTCCTGAAATTAAAATTTGAATAGGTCATTAATTTTATCCAAAATGCCCAGAGTGGACAGTTTCAAATTATACTGAGTACATTCTGTGAAGAATCTCAGACTCTTTATCACTCTGTTCTCATACAATGTTGCCTTCAACAGCAGCTTAGGAATGTTTTTCTTATGCATTTCTATACATACAACCAGAGCCCGCACACCTAAAGAATCCTCTTAGATGTATAAATGTGAGGGTGTGTAATTGTATCATGGCTTTTCCTCTTCTGAACTCAGCCCTCTGTAGGCTGAAGCCATATCTATTCAATTCCTTGGGCAACTAGAGAATGCTTCTGTAACGGATTCTAAAGATGATAAATGCTTTGGAGGGATTTACCATCCACTTCAGAATAGACAAGTATCTCCAATCTTCTCATTAGCCAATCTTAGACAAATGTATTTCCATTTTAAAGGTTTTAGAAAATATGTAAGGATATTAGTATCCTGGATGAAAAAAAGTTTATCTAGATTCTTTTCAGTCAAGACTTGGTAATGGACCCTAGATAAGTTGCCACATTAGTTGCTCTAGTTGATAACTCTGCATTTTTATGGCTGTAAATTTCCAGATTGTTTTAAACCTGGTAACATACAGATCAAGGAATGGAAGGAAAGAAGGGTCAATTGTTTTCCTCTTTCCTTTAAAACAATTTCTTTGGGGGTAAAAAGGCATATAAAATTAGATTTTCAGTTTAGTTTAGTTCCCATTTTCTGCAACAGAAGGCAATTAATAAGTAATTGCAAGTAATTTGTTATAAATGAGATAGATATTAAAATAGCAATCAACAATCATTGATAAATAAGACAACTCTCAGTTAGATTTTAGAGGGCTGTAGTAAAGTAGGACTTAAAGATCCCAACCATACAGCTATGTCAGTTTTTAATATACATTATAAAATCATTTTAAAAACAAAACAGACAAAACAGTCCCTTAGACCATTATAGAAAACACGAGAGAACAAAATTATTGTTTGTCTGTTTCATTTTGAAAATATTTTATCCTTGTTTAAGAGGGTAATTAGATTAAAAATGAAATAAACTACACCTACCTTTTAGTATGTGAAGAATCCCTTCAGAAGCATTTCAATTCAAACATAAAATAGTAGGAAAGGCATGGGGCATGGGCTTCCAATTCTGGAAAGGACAAGGCCTTCAAAGAAAAGTTAATTACCAGTTTTTCCACTAGAAAATCTCATCTAATCCTATTGTATGAACTCTGCAATGCTCTACAAAAGAAGTGGGGGGTGGAATCAAACACTGTCTTAGCAGCTGATCTACATGGAATCTGGGCATGCAGAAAAGGATTTTGAAGTATCTTTCAATAAATTCCTGTAAATACATATTATTGTAACTTCATATTCAGAATATTAAGTTTTATACTTACATCTACTTTATATCATTTTCAAAAGTAATGTCACATTGCTAATGTTACTTCATAGAGAGAGAGAGAGCGTGTGTGAGTGTGTGTGTGTGTCCAAGTATTTATTTATAGGGGGAAAATGTCTGGACTAAACATAATTTCTAATCTCGGATTTTCCCCATTACCAGAGGGAGCCCCCTTGTGGAGTACTGTGAAGACGTTACCATGGCAACTCTACTGCGCTGTACAGTAGAAGCCATTTAAAGGCACAATCTTAATAGAACACACACCCCAAGGGGTTTTAGGGGTGTCTTACCCCCACAGTATTTGTTTCCAGAGAGTAAGTTATCTGTATACCAAGTTTGGTTGACATTGGTCGTGGCGTTCCAGTGTTATGCTGGAACATACACATACAGAGCCGTATTTTATATATAGATAAAAACAGAAAATAACACCTATCAAATATCACTTATTAAGATTGCAAAATATATTAATACTTATGTGCATAAATTCTATTTATTGCTAGAATAAAGGGTACTCCATTTCATTATCATTTGCAAGAGGGATTATCTAAAAGTAAGAGATAACTCTGACCATGCAAGAACCATCTTTTAAGTCCCCAAGAGCTGCCCTTTGCCAGCTCTATCAACAGAAGTTAAACAATTCAGTTAGGGCATAAATTTTCTTTGATCTCAACATATTTTAGAACACTTGTTTTCAAATATAATTGCATATTGTAAATAAAATATATACATTAGTGTAAACCACAAAATTCTTAGTAAGTCTCTCCAGCATTCTGATTTATTTTAAGAGCTACATGAGCTTAGCTTTAGAACTGACTTCTAATGTAATTTGTCACTACAGAAAGTTTCCCTAATATAGCCTTCTGTTTCATTATTTCCATTTATTAATATAGTGTTCTGTTGTTTACTATTCATTCAGTTTTAAATTAAGTAGAAAAGCTTTCTCAGGTCTTTGATACCAGAACTCAGAGGAACCCTCTCTCTTCATCATGCCTCACATCTGAACCATTCCATGCCAGCAAAAGAAGGCAAGCAATTTAAATCACCTTTTAGGATGACTTTAGACCTGAAATGTCTGCTTGAGTCAGAGCAAGCCACTAGAATATAAGCTCCTTACAGCACTGCTGATGTTTGTACTAGTCTGGGTAATAAAACATTTGCAAGAAAACTGCCAAGCTCAGAAAGCACCAAGGACCCCTCATTTCAACCCGGATATTCCACTTTATGGGAGTATTTCTAATCTAGAATTGATTTTCGTTTCTGTTTTAAAAAAAGTAACACATTTTATCTAAGCATTACTTAAAAGAAAAATGTACTAAAATGTAAGGATCTGCTTTTCATATTCCTACCTTTTCTGATAAGCAGAAGTCAGATTCAGTGGTGGGAATATTTGTTTTTTGATTTCTTTTATTATCCACATTTTGGAAGGTAAGGGTTGTTCCCATTGTTTTCAAACAAATAGTCTTCAGTGTTTTTACAGCAGCGATTGCTACAGAAACTACAACTCTTGCACTTTTTATCTTGGGAGGATGGACAAAATAAAATAAACTGATAATGCTACAATGAATGATAAAATGATGAAAAAATCTACAGCACAAAAAACAGCGTGAAAAGAAAGACAAGTTTAAATATTGTTGCATAAGAAAGGGATGAAAATAAGACAAGGATGAGAATAAGTAAAATGATAGGCTGGAACATCTGGGAAAGTAAATACAAAAACAAGACAATACTACATTAATCTCAACATTTCAAGAGAAAAAATATGTTTCAGATTATATAATTTAATAATATATATAATATATAGAGTTCCAGATTTCACTAGCAGCACTGGAGGATATGAATGTCAAAAGTCAAAATGGCTATCTCAGCAGTGCAATCAAAGCTTTGTCACTTTTGTACATGTATTTATATCGCACTATATATAAAGGGAAGGACTTTTGACCATTGCCAAAAACCATCTATATATCTTTAACCTTCCCCCTGTGGAAGTTGCTAAATCCCATAGTATTCTACTATTTATGAGAGAGAAGGGTTGTCAGAATGGTATACTTGTTTCTTCCCATACCAGAAATACATTTAGGTCCATTCTTCCATTACACACAAAAGCTTTATATATAAATAATGTTGGTGATTATTAAAATAATGAAATAAAGACTAACAGTTTTATCATGTCATGCGACAGGAAAAGGAAACCTGGAGAGCAGCATCTGATATCGTCACACAATCTCATAATATGACCTGAATTCTAACCTCCTTACCCATTGCCTTTGCCATCTCAATATATTACGTCTAAACATGGTGGTCATTGATAGGCCTTTCCTCCATTAAAACTGGCTAGAATTTGTTTTAAACATCTAGGTCAGTGATAGTGAACCTTCTCAGCACCGAGTGCTGAAAAGGTTGGGTGGAAACATCTCCCACACACACACACTTTCATCGGGGCCATGCTCCGGAAAAGCCGAACGTCTGGGTTCTAGCACGCATGCATGCCCAATGATTAGCTGACTGGCATGCATGCACAGGGCGGTTTTTAGCACTGCTGCACATGCAAAGGATCACACTCTAGAAAAGGCGAACTTCCACGTTCTGGTGCATATGCACACCCAACAATCAGCTGGCCAGCACGCATGCGCACACCAGTTTTCGGCTCTGCTGCGTCCAGAAAGACAGCTGATTGTGATGCGCGCATGTGTGCCAGAAACCCAGAAGATAAACAGGCAAGGCCACATGTGCCAGGTGACATGGCTTGTGTGCCACTTTGGGCATGTGTGCCACAGGTTCACCATCACGGATCTAGGCTATTATTCGATCTTCTGGCAAAAAAGTAATCAATAAATGAATGAATGTTTGTGATTCCTTTAGGTTAAAAATACAAACAAATCCTAAAAAAAGTTCTCACGAGACAGCCAAATTTCTCCACACATATTTTGATTTTTTAAATAAAAAATATCAATTTAACAGCTCTAATTGTTTTCAATTCAACAAATCTTTTTGGTATATTATGCAAATCCTCCAATTTGTGTCTAAAAATATCCGTTAATCTCTGCTGTAAATGTGTTATTTTAAAATATATGCTTCCTATTTTAAAATTTTCAAAGCAGTGATTATCTTTAGAATGTATAACCACCTTGCATTACTACAGAAAAGGTAGAGAATGCATAATTTTAAACAATTACAAATATGAGGTTGTTCCTTGATGTTCATTAGCATATAATCACTTCTGCTATGTTACTTCCTTGCTTTTACTGTGCAATGATTCTCTCAACCTCTGACAATTTTTGTACTAACAGAGGTCATATTTTGGAGTTGAACAAGGCTGAAGAAGCAGTTTTGCCCAAAGATACACTCTCTCAGCATATTTTTAGCTGACTCCTTTTATCAAGTACTCCAGCAGTTTACCATTATTATTCCCATGAAAAAATGTATATAAGAGATCCTTCCCTCTCAATGGCTTTCAGTGCTTATTTTCCTTTTATTACGTTTTGCTTCTGCAGGTTTAGCATAGCTACACATTTTGGAAGGCCGAAAGTCAAGGCTATTTATGTCCTGTCCACTTCCTCCAACAATATTTTTATGTTCTATCTCTATAACTGTTCTTCCCTCTTCTCGTCCCTCCTCCCCTTCTCCTCCTCCTTCCATTGCATTTTTTTTTACCAGAGTAACTGCTGGAAAGCAGCTGTTCCTCTTCTTGTAACTATTATTTGCCCACCCTGAATAACAGATGAAAAACAAGTGAACTGTGGCAAGAGCAGAGAGACGCAACAGTAAAAGCCAGAGAGCTTTTGCTAATGGATCCATAATGAAACCATGGATCTTGGCAGGTACCCAATATGCCAAGGCATGATACCAACTTGATATTGCTCTTAGTAACAAATTAGAATTAGGCTACAAGCTGCTGCTTAGCCTTTTCTAATAAGCCACAGACATTTCCATTAAGCTGCTGCTTCTGCCATTCTTAATATCCAAGGGGGAAACAAAAATGATTATCATATTTTCCTGCAAAATCTCAGGCATGATATGTTTACCTAGATGGCTTACAAAGTAAAAATCTACCTGACTCACTGACAAAGGTTCGTCTGCACTTCGTTCATCTGAAGATTTTGGAACTTCTAGTCTGTCGATAAAAGCTTGGAGCTCTTTCCTAAAGGTCTTCATCTGAGCATTGATCCGATAAAGAAGTTCGTGTTCCCGTATCCGACTGCCATCATCCTCATCATCCATAAGTCCAAATAGATCTCCGTTGGCCACATAAATTCTTGCTTCGGTTATGATAGTGCTTGTGTCCGAAATCAGGCGGTCTATCGTCTTGCCCAAGCGTTCTGCCTCACAGCGAATATCCTTCATTTGCTGACGGTCCGTGAAGCTTTTTTGCCACCCTGTCGGTGTTGGATAGAAGGACCTCGTAGGGGTCAAGCAGCGGATGTTGCGGACCTCCTCTGAGTCACTTTCCCCACCAACAGGCCCTTCTCTTTTGCGATGGGGAGGACGTGAATCATCATCACTTTCTTTTTTCCCTGCATCACTTTCAGCATCGCTGTCCCTGGGGCTGCCTCGGATTCCCAGATGTGAGGCCAGATCATAGCGCTGCATGTTGGACATCAGGACTCTGTTCTCATACTGAAGTTGCATAACTTTACCACTGAGTTCATTGATCTGCAGGCGGGTGGCTTTGAGCTCTTCTTGCAATGCCTCTGTCTTGGCACTGTCATGATGCCTTGAAGTATCATGAGTCCCTGTCTTGTATTTATATTTGTTCAACTCTGCTGTGATGCGCTTATTTTGCTCTTCCACATCAGCCAGGTTTCTTCTCAATAGTTCTGTTTCATCTTCAACTAACTGCAGATGCTGTCGTAACTCTGAGAGAGATTCATTCTGTTCTCCCATTAGGGGATTGGCTGCCCCTGAGAAATCATCTCCTCTTAAGTCATCAAGTTCGGCCTTAAGCCCTCTGTTTTCTACTTCCAGTTCCACTATTTTCCTTCCCAGGATATTGGCTTCTTCCTCAACTAACCTCAGACGAAGTTTCAGTTCGGCTTCTCTTGTGGTAGGTGGGCCTCCAGCTTCCCCCTTTGGTAAGGGACTATCTAAGTCACCATATAACGATCTGTACTTTTGTAGGTCATGTTCAAATCTATCCTTTTCCTTGTCTATTTTGGCCAACTTTTTCCTCATTAAAGTTGCTTCTTCTTTGACAAACTGCAACTGACATTTCAGATCTTCATTATCCTCCTTACAAAAGGGGAGAAAATAAGCAGTCACTTTATATATAAATAAGAATCTTACTTGGCAATTAAAAAAGGAAACCATTGATATTTACAATAATAAAGGTTCCAAATGCCCTTTCTGAGTGTTTCCATGGATTTAGTAGAGACAAAATTTATCTGATTCATATTTTCAATACACAGCATTTTGCAACAGCAAGATAGTCCAACAAGTTTCTCCAAGCAGAAATTAGGTGCCCAATTTGGCCGTTCCACACTATGGAGATGCCACGCTATCAGCCCCCTCTACCACAAAGATCCTGCAGGAGAAGAGCAGTCTGGACAACCATGGGATCTGGCAGAGTGAGAGCTGTGAACCATAAACACAAAGCTTTTGCTGTGATCCAGCATAACAGATATAGCGCCCTTGCTCACCCCAATGGGGATACTAAAGAGACAGGTCAAGGTAGTTGTGATAATGATGACTCAAATAAGCAGGGGATCGTGGTCCAAAATGAAGAACTTTCTTTGGAAAGGC